TGAGTGTGACAGTGCTATATAGCATGGTTTTCTGTTAGCTGATAGCAGAAGTAAGACACTTAATTTACGCAGAAAGAAGGAAGGAATATTCTCTTCCTGACAATCCTGAAAAACTAGAACAACATGATGTAATTACATGATTAAAAATATGAAATAGCAGTATCACAAAATGCAATGTGCCATAGAATGAATTCTATATAATGTATAGTGCCTTTTGTGGCATGACTAAAACAAGGAATGATTCTATTAAGTGAACAATGATGTAAAACTTATGCTGACACACTTGAATAGCATAAATTTGACTCCACAGCCAAAGTGCTGGGCTTTTTCTTATGACTGTTTACTTTTCAGAGTGGAATTATCATTGACCTGTTCCTTTCAAGCTCACACATTACTCTAGCCCCCTGCTTGAACCTCTTAAGGAAAATAATAAGTCTAAACACAAAAATATTAAGCAGATGGACACAAACCAGCTCGTAACTGGAACGCTGTGGGCTCATATCTCAAGTGAGATGGTGATATTTTATCCTTGCACAAGGTACTGCACCTGAATTGTCATGGCAAAAATCCCCAGCATTTTAATCACAAATGGATGGAAATGTAAATTGCTTTGGATTAAAGAGGAAGCTACTGTACATAAATAAGTAAAAATACAGATAGTCAGTAGTTTTACTGTAAAAAATAAAACTGAACAATCTAGCGTTGTATAACAGTATGCTGGAGTTGCAAGGGCTGCTCAGAGCTACTCTATAATGAAGAGATCACTTTGGAATTAAAATGTGCACATTAAAACACGCTTCTTGTTAATCATCTAGATAGTGGGTGCGTGAAACCTATGTATAAACAAGTCCATGGCTGATTTATTGTAAATGCAATGCCTGTAGCAAGTGGAATCCACTATCATCTGCTGTAATGGTCTGGTGGGTAGTTTGCAAGACTTGTACCAATTGATTGGTAGATAGCTGGAGCAGCAGAATTTGATATTAAGCTGTGATAATTGCATCCTGACCAGGTCAAGACGAAAGTAGCTCAATAGAAGGAAGAAAATGACTGATTTAAAAACAAAGAGCTCTAATGGAATTTGGTAGTGCTTTTCAGTCCTTCAACCTGGCATCTCTATTACCTGAAGTGATTCATAGTCCATTATGGGAGCTTCCATTTTAATAGAATGTCTATCTTCTGTAATACAGACACATCAGGCATGTTACCACAGATCTGTCAGCCAGGGAATTCTCTTCCAAACAGTTTTAACCCCAGGAAGAAATGTCTGCCTGTTTGTGGCTCGAGTATTGGTGCTGGTTAAATTAATTAGGCAGTTTAATAGACAATACTCTGAAAAAAAAATGTGTCTGGAAATGATGCAAGCAGGAAAAAACCCATCAAAACAACTTGGCAATCCTGCTGTATTTTATGAACTGGAAAGGATTTTTGCTTTTCTGGTCATTCATGGAGGTGGGTGTCGTTAACAGCTTTTAAGATGTAACATGTCGTGACTGAAAACTAGTAAGAGTAACTTTTCCTCAAGGATTATCAACATCTTGTTTTATGTCTTTAGTAAGCCACCCAGACTATATTTATTTTTTCTCACGCAGGCCCTCCTATGAATACAAAATACATGAGAAATGTCAGCAAGGGCCTTTTTTTCTGATTTCATTGTTGACTGGCATATTTAATGTTGGAAATTAGAAAACTGTGGAATACTCGGCTTCTTCCCAGCTCGTGTCTAGAAGCTCTTTACTAGATAATGGCTCTGCCCTCCATCAGCAAGCGGAGTTGGGTTTTATTGGAGGAAATATGAGAATGGAAGGGATGCAGTTCATTACTCAATCTGGGCAGCTGATGAACTGCGGAGAAGAAAGGACATGGCTAAATGAAATGTCATTATAGGAGTTACTCATGTTTAGCAGATGCAGAGTGGAGAGAGGAGACTGCTTCCGAATGTCGAAAATTGTGCATTCCTACTGTGAATATGGAACAAACCCCTGTTGTATCAATTTCCATATAAAAAAAAATGGAAAACATGGAAAGTAAAAAGTGTAAGTAGATGAGAAGACTTGTGGAATGGAAAAAGGAACCCTCTGTAGGGAGAGAAAAAATCACTACAAAAAATATTGTGGAATATTTTAATGCCATCCTAAAAATATATGAATATAATAGTAATGTATAAATCCTATGCTATTATATATAACAATAAAATAACAGCAACAACAATAATAATGATATACTTGGATTTCATTCTGCAGTGGATGGGTGTCTTCTGCAGATGTAGTATTTGTACACAGGTTGTGCAAAAGAGATATTACATTTTAATTTTACTTTTAATTTGCACCCTGCAGTTGTTGTAGCAAAGACATGGTCAATAAGAACCTTTTTTCATAAAAATACTAGTATATTTAAAACATCCATAATTTTTTCAATGGAGCATTTTCCCAAAATATACATGTATTTAAAAACAAAACATCTTTGCCTTTAAAAAGGACAGGAAAAATTCAACGGTGCTTGGGATTCGGAGGTCAGTCGTTTTGCTAATAAAGAGATGTTTACACTATATTACAGAAAGAACAACAATGTTATGTACAGCACAGCTGTTGTTACAGAACTACCAAGAAGCAGGGGGAGGCGGAGGGGGAAGAGGAGTCAAAGGTACCATCTGCCTGTGTGGGTTAACCTCGGTGACAACTGTATGAATGAATTCTAGCGGGCTGGAATTTTTTTCCATTCTGTTTTTTTCCCCAGAATGACGTCACAGAGACCTTGTATAGCGAAAAGAGCCACTGAGCTCTCTGGTCTCGTGTCCTCATCCCCCCTTAATTTCTGACTCGCACCTGAACCAGTCTGAACCGATTAAAAATCGTGATAGATCGTGATCAAACAACGATTTCCCCCCCAATGATTGAGAGGTACGCAAAATACTCGCCAGATGCAGGGTAACCAAGACGGCGAAAACGTCGGGAAATATACAAATGAAATGGCTATAGGAACAGAATCACCTCGTGAGACTCCCCCCCGCCTCACGCGATACAAATGAAGCAGAAATAAAAGTCGATTTATAGACGGTTCCTTTTCTAATGCTGTGAATCGGCCATAGCAATTTAATCTGCATATTTTCCGTGATAGATTTAAAAAATACATATCCGAGCACGATCTTAAAACTCTAGAACAAGAACAGAGGTTTTTCATCTTTTCTGATTGGATGATCGGATTGTAATCTATAGGTATTATACCTATATATAATGCTGTTATTATGAAATATAAAAAAAAAGTGCGTGTTGAATTTACACACCCCTAGAGCAAGGGTGAAAGGGACCTTTTGCACGGCACACTCCAAAATCCCGGGGCCCAGTTTCTGTCCCTGCACGAATATTAGATTAGTATGAGAATACTGCCATCTGCCGGACAGAAGTGGAAATGCCAAGGCAAAGAACTCGGCCCATCCGCATTGCCGGGATCATCAGAACAGCGAAAACGGTGGAGAAGGATTCTCTTGTTGGTGGCTTGGTAAAGAGGTGTATGTCAAACAGGATTGCTACTCAGTCTATTAACTAGACAACTAAACCGGTGGACCCGGAAAACTATTTCAAAGGGCAGCTACAAAGACCGCCTGATGTGACATTGAAAGGCGATCACGCTTCCTCTGAAGGACAGATTCTTTAAACACAATATTTCTTTTCAGAAAAGCGCAGACACCCTGTTTAGACGCTGCAGATGACACGAACTCAAATATTGCATCCTATTAATGCGGCCACCTATTAACGCACACTTTTATCACAATGTGTAAGAATTTTCCTTCCGGATCAATAAAGTCTTATCTATTTCCCCACTTTTCCATATCAATGGTAGCAGCGGTAGAGTAGCTGTATTTTTAAGAGAAGTTACACGAAGCGAGGGTTTACGACAGAAGTCCGCAGCCCTGCTAATGTAAAGCGCCCTCACAGCGGGCCCGGTTCTGGTTCCGAAAGGCTCGTTTATCTGCTCATTCTCTACAGTAGGTCTGTTTTAAGCAGGAGCACCTGCTGCTCAAGCTCCTGCTGGGAGAAGCTGCTCAATTGATCTAATTAAGCCAACTAACGAGCTGATTTATCTTGTTAAGATCCGAGTCCTAATGAGAACCTGCAGATACACTGGCCTGCCAGGCCCGGGACTGTTTCACAGGCAGAGCTTAAATCATCCATTTCCAAGGGCCCGGAGCAATTTAACTAGGAGCAGCTGTACAGGTGGTGTGTTCAATTAAGTCATTTGGAGATCATTTTGGAACGAAAATCAGAATATCCCTCAGTCCTCAAGGACTCGTGTTTCCTTCATCGAAACGCCTCTTGCTTAGGCGATCACTTGCTTAAACACGTGTTAATAATCTTTACATAACGGGGGATTTGGGGCAGACCTACCAGAATAACCTCATGAGGGTTTTTACAGGACACATTGTTTCCAGTGTACCCAATATGCAGTCCTCGAAACATCTAAATCAGAACACCAGAGATAAGAAATGTACACGTATCATTTTGATAATATTTTTAAAACTATGTATGTCATTAGAACATAATTTAGAGAAAAGCTCATATTAAGCTTTCTTTCAGGTATTGACTACACTGGAAGGGATACATCCCGTTGTCTCTCACGCCCCCTCGTGATTAGTTTAGGTAGTGCAGGGTGCCGTCTGAAGCCCCGCTACACTAGTACTTCAAGCTGAAATGGGCGTTAGTGGTTTCTGCATTTTCGTACTTTGATTTTAACGCCATGTTGTCTCTCGCTATGTTTTATTTATATAACCCATTCTAGGAAGAGAATCTCGAAGGAACACGTTAGTGCACTACGGATAAAAAATGTATTAATTGAACATACAGTTTTAATAATGCTCGGATGATAGAGAATAACCTTTCAGGGAACTTTCTTTTATCAGGGACGCTTTCCGTATGCTCCTTAGTTAGGGGCATTGTGTGTTGCATTATCTCACCTTACCAGAACGTCGTGTCCTCCAGACCAAGTTAGATATCGATATCACAGTTCCTCTCACGTCCAGCAGAGACGGACACTTACTGTCATATGACTCACACGTGACTCTGCTTCCTGTCTGTCATGGCGGCCACCTCAGTCTTTCAGAGAGTGAGAACAGGGTCAAAATTAGCTCAGTACGACCAAGACGGCAACATTATTCAGGTAAATAAACTGTCCGAAGAATTGTGAAAATGTCGAATGATATTATGTCGTGCTTCGTGGAAATGGTTGACGCGTTTCTTTTCTGTGTGTTGTTTTTTAGACCAGGTCTCTAGACTATGGCATTCCAAGAGGGAAGAGTAATCCATTTATATTTCAAATGTACTGTTTAGGCTACATATAATCTTATCTCTTGTGTTTTTGTTGAGTCTGAATGGCTGCTTTTGCTTATTATTTTCGAGTAAGTGAAATTCACAATCATTTTGACCCATACCACTACAGAAATAAAACCTGTATGTGGTCTGTTTTTATGGGTTGGGAAACGTTTGTTAATTTGTACAGGTTGAGTAAATAAGCTCAGTGATTCCAGAGAGAAAATCGGGAAAAAAATCCCCTTAACGCAGATAAGAAACGAACGCTATGTGTTGTCTCGGGGTTTTTATTAAGTACTTCTGTGCAAGCTTGTTTGCTTCGGATGACGTTCGGTCATGTACTGTACTGTCGACTTTGATCTTGGGTGCAATATGTACTGACAAAAGCAGGTACGCGATTTCAGTAAAGATGACTTAAGTTGCAAAGCATCTCTGTTGTGTTGCAAACAGTGACATTTCACTTTGGACACGTCGTTTTTGGGTGAAATTATAAACTTAAAAACAAAAATAAATCTCAGATTGTTTTGTTCACTAATTATTCCCCACAGAGGCTTCATGTTTGTTAAACTGCATCCATACCCAGACTGCTGTTTGTGCTCCTCGCTCTCAGCCTCACCTGTGCTAGAATGATCCTTACACCCCAATCCCTGCACCTCGTGAACCCCTCTGGTCCCACCTGTTAGCTTCACCTTTAAAACACAGATGTTGATCTATCAAAATGGTGTGGTGTTACAGTGCTGGCACTGACAACCTGTGACTTTTGGTTGTGGTGTTTTTAAGTGGTCTGTCTTTGTCTGTGGGACTGCCTCCAGGACCTGTGTTCTTAACGGCTGGTCCCCTCTCTGCGAAGACTGAACAGTTATGCTGGCTCTACTCTTCTGCTCACTGATAGGTCATGCTACGGCTGGGATAATTTTAGACCAACCTGCTCCAGGTGTCCCCAACAGTATACTCAGTTGCTTCATGTGCCATCTTTAGAAAAGCATCTCAGCTGTTTTTAATCACTAAAACTAAAACTAGGCAGTTAGGGGTAGATGGGTAGTTTGTAGTTTTGAATGCTTGCCTTCCAAGAGGCAGACATCCCGATTGTTATGTGATCTTGCATTATCATTTGGAAAATCTAGTCTGTTGCCGAGTTAAATTTAATTTGTACTGGTAGCTGGGCTTTGGATAGAGAGGTAGATCAGTAATATATGGCCTTTAGGTATTCAGAACACAAATTAAGGGGAGGAGTGGTGGCACTGTGGCTGGAAGGTTGCCGGTT